GAGGTTCCCTCCTTTCATGTAACTCTGGTTTGTGTCAAGGTCATGTAAGACTAGCCAGCACACCCTCCATGTACATACATGTACCTTCCCCTTCATAAGAAGCATCTCAGTCAGCAAAGAGCTGATTCTCCTTTCACTAGACTAAAATGCCTATCATCTATTTCATTTCAGCTAGCAGCTTTTGCCAAATCAGGAAGACCCTAGGGGGAAGGGAGCGGTGTTTGGGACCCAAAAGCATACACACAAGGGGGGAAGCAGTCCTCCAGTCCTCCTTTCTTTAGGATTGAATTCACGACTGCTGGGGGTTACAATCTTTTACAACTGAGACACTGAAGTATCAGGCCCTGCACCTGTCAGAGCTGGAGGAGGGGTCCCACCCAACCACGTGTTCACACAGACGCATAGTCTTGTAAAACTTGTGACTATGAGACACCTTAACCACAATCAGTTAGAACTGCTCTCTTTCCACTTCCATCTCCACACTTCCTCCCAGGTCAGATGGGGATGGAACTGCCACAGTTTGGGGGTTTTTGCCAAGTGGAAGCTGAGTTAAGAATATACTTGGTTTGGGTTCAGTTAAAAAAAATCCAAATATATACATGTGGATTACTGTCATTTCTGTGTAAAGTCAGCCATTACAGTGCAAAAATGGCTTCCAGAAATGGCCACACTACCCACTGTGTATGCTGGCCACAGACCGGCAGCACAGGTGTGGTTGTCACGTGGTACTGTGACGTATCCCAGCTTCGCAAGTGTGATCATCTCAGAGTCAGAACTCCCGTGGCTGCAAAACTCTTCCACTTGCCGAGCATGTGAAGCCATGGGCACAAGACTCAACACTGACAGCTGTGCAGGCTAGTTTCCGTCAGCTCGACACAAACTAGAGTCCCCTGGGCAGAGGGAACCTCAATGGAGGGGTTGCCTCCACCAGACCAGCCTTTGCGGCATTTTCTTTTTTAATTGATGATTGATGTGGGAGGACTCCGCTCACTGCAGATGGTGGCACCCCCTGGGCAAGGGGACCCTTGGCGTATAAGAAAGCAGACTGAGCAAGTCATGGGGAACAAGGCAGTACGCAGTGCTCCTTCATGGACTCCTCAACAGTCCTGTCTTAGTGTTGCTGCTGCGAGCTGGCTTCCATCAGTGATAGACTGTAAGCTGTAAAAAAATAAACCTTTCTCGCTTGCTTTTGGTCATTGTTTTTATCACAGCAGCAAAAAACAAACCAGAACAATAGTCGAGACATAAAGCAAACAGAAGTTCCTCTATGTCAAATCACTTGGGCAGCACGGACCATTATTAATATCCCAGTTTCAGTCTCAATTTTAGGAATCATACAAATACACTTAGGGATCAGGCCGTTAGTTGTAAGGACCAAGCAAAACCGTCTTCAAAGCCTATCACAAGCTATAAACAGGAGTTAGCCATAGCACCATAGACTCCCCGTAACTGACAAAGAAAACTGTACGCTAAAGGCATTATGTAAGTGTTTTAGTCACTTGACAATCATCAAAGTACTGGGATCAGTGAAGAAATCAATCTCAAATTACACCACTGATAAGGTGACAGCATTCAAGTCAAACAAAATCTGACAATGGTTTTATAGTTTGTCCATGAAAACAGCCTGATAGAGGCTTTCCCAGACCCAACGTTACATGACAGGTTATGAAAGAGTGTTTTCTGAACTAGTTAATAAAAACCTGAGTTTGAAACACCCTGATGTCCTCACTCCAGGTTATTTTCATAGGAAGAGGATAACAAATTCTGCAGCACAAACCCGGGTGGGAAATGCTGCAGGTGGGCCTGGGAATATTCCTAACTTTTGTGGATTTTGATGTGTTTGCAACATAAATCGATTCCTAAATCATGGTTTCTTTCCTTACTTAGGTTTTCTTTTTCTTTTGTACCTGATCCCTCCCTCTCTCCCATCCTTTGAGGACAATGAACAGAATCAAATAAACTCCATGCCCACAAAATGAAATCTGCTCTTGGTGAAACATTCATCTTCCTCACTCTACAGATGGAGACAATGAGGCACAGGGAGGCTGTCAGATTTGCCTGAGGGCATAGAGCTAGCATGGGACTGCTGGTCCTGTCACACTTGGCCTCTGTCCCCTAGCTAGGCCTCTCAGGGGCTGTCTCACTCTAGAGACTGTTCCTCTCAACTTCAGTTTGCCTAGCTCTCTGTTCTGCAGAGATTCATAGTCTGGAAGATTAGCCTTGCCATCAGATTCCCCTTACCTCCATCAATAAGATGCTGCTAGGGGGCCTAACCCTTCCCATCTATCCTGAGTTGCTTAGGGGGCAGCTACACCTCTTCAAACACAAGCACCTACCGGGGTCCCAGGAAGAAAAAAGAAATGAAGTGACAAGTGTGAAGCTGAGCAGTCAGGAGCGGTGACACCATGTAAATGAGTGTGAGTACTTCCCTCCTGGGGTCAAGTTCACCCCCTGCACAATGTCTGCTGGCTGCCTTTCCTGGAAATCCTCCTTCATGGCACTGAGAGTACCTGGGGGAAGTTGCCATCCATGGCTTTAAGCACCCAAGGACTCACCAACTGTTTGCTTTGATGAACTTTTTCTCCCTCCCATACACAGGGCAGCCCACACAGCTTTAACAAGAAAAGCAGGCTTTGTTCTAAAGAGTCACTGTGCTTCCCCAGTGAAAATCCTATTTGACAACCACCAGAAGGTTCACAATAGAGGACACTGAAAACTCTGGCTTCTCCCGTCCTTTTATTTTCCCTCCTATACCTGAGTCCCGACCCCTGGCTTTTTTTTTTAAAGCTATTTCTTTCATGTCTTGAGATTATAGATCTGTCCTCAAGAAGCACTTATTTTTTTTGGTTCTCCTGACCAGTGGTCAGCTTAATCTGTATTTGGACGAATGCCTAGGTAGCTGCTTTGATATTAGAAGTTTATCACTGAAAACAGTCAAATCTTAAAAATCAAAAGGTTTACTCTTTCCAGTTTTAGAGATGGGAAATTTCATGTAATTCCTGGGCTCAGGCTATCATGTCTCCACACAGAATAAGGGTATTACGCAATCATCCCCTGTCCATGTAAGTGGAGATCCTATTTAAAAAAAAAAAAGCAAGCATGATGAGTACTTCAGAAATCTCTGCATGAGAACATTAAAAGGCACTGTTTTCCAGTGGACTCATTATAAGATAGAGGTTTAAGTGCCAGAGGGGGTGATTTTCATATGAATGCTGAGTGCTGCTCGGCACAGGTAAGAGCCTATTGGGTACACAGAAAACCAAATCTCCTCAAAGGAGTAGAGAAACTGTGAGTGACAGGTAGAGACAGATATCACTATACCATTTATCAAAGAGAAGTTTAAACATTTTATTGGGGTTTCTTCCTTGAACTGTCACAAATCTCAATATAATTGTAAATGAGTGGTGTTCAGTGTCACATCTGTGCCATTTATACACCAGCTGCCAATTGCTGATTATCATTAAAGAAAGATCCAAGTTACTAGGCCTGCACACAACACAGGGAGCATGGTCTGAAATGAGACATAGCACTCAACAAGTCATACAAATCAAAACCAAAATAAGCTCCCAGCTGAACAAAACATAGATAGATAGATAGGTAGGTAGGTAGGTAGGTAGGTAGATAGATAGATAGATAGATAGATAGATAGATAGATAGATAGATAGATAATCTCCTTGTGTAAACAGTGACCAGGTCCCTACAGGAAAACTAAGTAAACAAGCCATGCTTCCAGTTGCACAGTACAGACTGTGTAAACTGAAGCTGGTAGAAGAGATGGGGCTTATGATAGGATTCATCCTCCTTTGTCCAAACGGCAGAGAAAGGACCAAAACTGCAAAGCTCAGTGAATGGGTGGGAGTCACGACGTGAAATCAGAACGAATCTAGTGTCTACTGGGAGCTATGTATCAACCTCTACATCTCTGATTTTATGGTTCCAGGAAAAGCCTTATTGGGATTAGAGGTCTAAATGCTACGTAGTTCTTGGATACCTGAGGGTTCTGCAAAGGGGCCTCCGAGGAAGCCACATTGACAAAGGAGTAAAGGCAAAGTAAATAGAACAGGGCCTACTGTTGTGGGATATTTTGATAGCACACCAACACTCCTGACACAACCAATAAAGTTTACCTTGAATCAGAAAGCAGAGCAAGCTACTAGCTGACCAATAGTAGCCATAGAGATTTTGGAGGACCAAGGACATATAGAAAGACATGGGAAGTAGTAGGGAGGGGCTTAGAAAGATTCTTGGCCTTTTTAGAGCAAGGAAAGAGAGGTGGGGGTCACTGGTCACTTTTCCACTGCTTCTCTGGCCATTCAGGTTCTTATACCAATATCTGACTCCCGAGTTTTTGAAACATGTAGCTGAGGTTGCAATCATCCTAGCAACCTTGCAATCTAACTTGCAATCCTCTTGCTTCAATCTCCTAAATGCTGAGATTATAGCCTGTACCACTACACTCAGCAGAGGTCATCCATTTACTGTGTAAAAAAAATTCTAAAGAGTTTATTACCAAGACAATTTCTAGTTTAACATGGCCCCAAAGTAATAGACCAGAGTGCATGATTTTTTAAAAAATCTTTCTGTGGTATCTGTGTGGTTCTCTAGAATATTATTATTAGAATTCACTCTTGACTGGTCAATATTGATCCTCAAGTCTGTACACTATGATCTCTTATTCCTAGTCACAGGGGAACAAACTGAAACTCCTAAATTGCACAGTTCAGTACCTGACAGGACTCAACTCGGGAAATGTCTAATATCAAAACCTGTTTTCACAGTTAAAAAATAAACTCCATTGTTAAAAGGCAACTTATTTCATTTTAGTCTTAGTTTTTGAGACAGGGAGTTTCTCTATAACCAAAGTTGACCTCAGATACCTAAATGCTGGGGTTACAGGCCAACACAACATAAAAAAATAGCTTGTTCCCTTATTATTTGAACTCCCTCTCCACAAGGATGGTCAAGTTCCTCGTGTTTATCCCCTGACATTGAAGACTTACCCTGGGGTGCAGAAGTGAATGGCCACCAGCTCTGCCCAGCAAGCGAATCTGTTGGGAACAGCAAAGCCCAAAATGTTGACAAAGCCGCCTGGGCAGTAATGATTGCTAAGAACTTTCAAGGCAAACAAAACTCCTAGAAGAGAGTAAAGAACACACCAATATCAACAATTCAAATTCAGAGAGAATCACTGGGCACAAAGAAACTGAACAGGAAAACTATTAACTATTATATCCGACTTTCTGCTTTGGAACACAGTCAGTGAGCATGGCAGCCATTCCTTTGATGGATCCCAACTTGGAAGTTCAAACTGCTTCCAAGCATAGGACACAGAAAGTGGGAATGGGTCACCAGCAATGGTATCAAATGCCAGGAAACTGTCCCTTTAAAACAGCTAATTTTATGCTAAATGGATATGAAGAATGGAAAAGTACCACTTACACGTATTCCTGTAGCCACTATGGAAAAACATTGAAAGCAGGATGTATGAACTCCAATGGAGTTGGAGTTACAGGTGACTATGAGCTCCCTAAAAAGGATGTTGGAAATCAAACTTGGGTCCTCTGGAACCATCTCTCCATCTTGACTGGATATTTACTTTAATGACATTATTGAGAGGCACAAGCAACATCATCCTCTCGGTAAGCATGGACCAATTCAGTCCCCCCCTTCCAAGCTTATGATTTGTAACTGTGGAAGGTATCAAGAACAACATGCTAAGATAAAGGTGGCAACGTATCCTCAAGGCTTGTTCTTCAGGAGTGCCAACAATCCTTGGGTGGACTGGGATAAAAGAAGGCTGACATTGAGAGGTTTCACCTCAAGACCTCCTCTGCTCTGGGATGCCTTCTGAGCCCTGGGGACCAGCTCACAGAGAACCTCAGGCTTATGTAGCTCCTTGACTGTCAATATGTGAGTGTTCCACTTGCTTAGTATTATCTGTTGCATATGAATATATTATGCCTCACTGGACTCAAGGTTAAGTTGGTAACCAGTGTACCCTGAGCCTACTTCACAGTCATAATCAGTTTTCAAGAACACCCTTTTGTAAAGACACCCATGATTCCCTCCATAGCATTATCATGCACACTTCCAGTACCGTAAAACTATCTTCTAGCAGGCCCTAGTCTTAAGTGCCCAAGAATGTAGATGCAGCATAATGTGGGACAGCCTAAATGATGCCTTTGTATACCCCAGTCAGTTTGCTCCTCAAGATGCAGGCCCCAGAAAGTGTTAGCCACTGTCCCCTTATCAAGTAGGAATGGAAACAGGCAACCTCTCTCATGGCACTCACAAGTATTTGCTGTGAAAGTATTCACCTTACCTGAGAAACCGACAGCACAGTTTCTTCTGAAGTCGGGCTGATTCATTAATTCGGCAGTAGTGAACTGCAAGACCAAATACACCACCCCTGTAAGTAGGGAGAATGTGGTGATGATGTAGGCAAACCATCTGCTCCCCAGTCTTCTCTCCAGCTTTATTCCTTTCCAGAGCATGGACACCATATTGAAATACAAATGCCAGTCATTTGTATGGTGCACGGGAGAAAGCAGTAAACGTTGCCAGTCTTTTTGCTGGTAACACTTTTCCACACTGAGGCAGGAATAGTACAAGGGCTTCAAAGGATTCAGGAAGAACCAGACATTGAGAGCCAAGGTTGCCAGGGTAACAGGTGGAATATTGTTGATCCCAACATGGAACACTTGAGAAAGTAGCATAAGGAGCCCGGCATTGAACCCTCTTGATCTCCGCTGCATGACTGGATATCAGGAGCACAGATGGTGAACTGTGTTGAAGGATTGGGAACCCAGGAAGGCACGCAGGGAGCAGCACCTGAAATACATAGTGTGTGTGTGATGTCCATCAGCTGAGAACTGTGTCCGGCTAGGACACTCACTGGAGGATGAGCACACACAGGCCCATCCTACTTCTCATCCCAACAGAGACATTTACTTTCACTAACATCTTTCTTCATTTCACATTCTAAAATAGAAATGTTACCCCAGGTCCCAGTGGACTTAAGGGCAGGTATGCAGTGTGGTCATGAACTTGTAATGTGTCTTCCTTAATTGATTGATTGATTGATTGATTGGTAAGCCTGGCAACCTAAGTTTGATCCCTGGACCATAAAAAGGCAGAAGGAGAGAACCAACTCCACACACTTATCACTTGACATACACAGATGCACTGTGGCATGCACACCCACAATATATACATTTTATACATACAAAATAATAGTAATAGAAATAATAATAGAATAAACATGGCCTAGGGAGAAGGCTCAGTGTACAAAGCTTGCTATTTAAGCATGAAAACATGAATCCAATCATCCAGAGTGAGGACCAACATGTGAGGTTGCCCTCTGACCTCCACATACATGCCATAGCACATGTGTGCTAGCACTCACACGTTAAGCCATACACACACATCATATACATGTACACATACACATATCATACACACATAAGCACACATTATAGACACATTAAGAAAGATAAAATGACAGCCTGGACGATGACAACCTACCTACAAAGACAGTATGCAAGCATTACCTTTAAGCAAAACTTTGCCAAGTCTCTTTATCCCTTCTATCATTTTTAGCAGAAACACTCAAAATGCCAAAAAGCAGGCTTGTGGACATGTTATGGCCTAACCAAATCTTCATACTACCAGATGTCAACTCCCTAAATTCTGTGTCATAAGCTTTTAAAAACTTATCTATGCGCCAAATCCTACACTGCAAAGTGCAGTCATTGTTTATAAGCCCACTTGTCACCAAGAAGTAAACCAACCACTGCCACAGGATGTTGTAAGCACAGAGAGGAAGCCCACGAACACAGGCACACAAGTACGCCGAAGGTGGTGACAGACAGGATTACTGTCTTAAAGACTTCATTTGAGTTAGTGACAAGGAAGAGTTCTGCGAGTCAGCGGTCCTCCGCTTCACCCTCTAGACTGAGGCTGGCATTGTGACACGCTCTTGATGACAGGAAGTAGAGGGGCAGATAATACAAGAAGCCCAAACCTAGCCCCAAGATACAACTGCAGGTGTCTGTTCCTGTGTGGGCTAGAGTCTGGGCTAGTCAGGACAGGTTCTTGTCCTCTGATGGTCCTGGCCACTGGCCAACTAACCCCGAGACACAAAACTGCCTAGCTGACACAGATGTAAAGTAGACCCCAATGAGCCCCACCCTAATTTGAACCACAGAGAGGTAAGTCCTGGAGTGGTTTGATAAGCACAATTACTAATTCAGAAGGTATTGACTTTGGAGAGAGACTGGTTCTTGCTCATGAGAAGCACCTAGTGAGGACAGAGGGTAGAGTGGGCAGAGACGGGCTAAAAACAGGTCCATTAAAAAGAATCAAGGGTTTGGAGGGAAAAGCAGAAAGTGGAGGTGAGGGCGTCAGGTAGAGATACAGGCAGAGAAGGTGACAGATGTTCAGATAAAGCTCATTTACTGATGTGTGTTTTCGTATGGAGATTTCCCAGCTCCCAACTCCAGGCAGCAGTAACTAGACACTAGACAGTACATGGGTTTTATAGAAATAACAGAACTATATTTCAACTAAAAAAGTAAAATATTTAAAAGAAAAAATTTAAAGAGCTTCTACTTAGGAGCACCATAAGCGAGCCCGTTGCTGTAAACGGGAACAACTAGTAATACCCTAGGACTGCTAGAACATTCTAGAAGCAAAGGAAGTAATGGGAAAGTAATAGTATTTTCATTTATATAGGGTCATATCACTTATGCTGTTCAAAAAAGGGCAGAATTCCAATAAGGCTCAAATGTATTCTCAACCCCCAAACTGGATGTCTTCCTGTTTCTTATTCTTCTATATATTATATAATGAATTTTGGTCATCTTCACACCATCCCCTCCCTACTCTCCCAGTGGCACCCTCCTAAGTGGCACCTCCCCTCTCCGTGTACTTTTGTTTTCTTCTTGTGAATTTAGAGTTACTTGCTCAAGTGTGGGAGGAAGTTATTGAGTGGAACAATGGGCCACTTATCTATCTATGGCTACATCATTGAAGAAAGTGATATAATACCCCCACAAGCTTTGACTGGTAATAATCCTTTGGGGGTAGGTGTAGCCTTACTGGTCCCTGCTTTGTCCATGATGAATGTTGATGGACCCAATCTTGTACAGATCTTGTGTAGATACCATGGCTGTAGTGAATTTATGAGTACAATGACTATGTCACATCCAGAAGACAACTTGAGACTGCATGTCTCCTTCCCCATTCTCAGGTCTTACATTCTTCCCCCCACCTCTTCTGAGATGTTCCCCGAGCATCGCCTGCATTATGGTGATCTGAATGAGAATGGTTCCCATAAGCCCATAAGTTTGAATACTTGGTCTTAAGGCTATAAGAACTATTTGGGAAGGGTTGGGAGGTGTGGCCCTACTTGTGTGTCATAGTGAGTGGGCTGGCGTTGAGGTTTCGAAAGAATCATGGCATTTTCAGTGTGTTCTCAGCCTCCTGCTTTTGAGGTTTAAGATGTGAGTTCTCATCTGTTCTTGCCACCATGTCTTCACTCTGCCATCATAGACTCTACCCCGCTGGAACCATTAGCCCAATTTAAAGCTTTCTTGTATAAGTTGCCTTGGTAATGATATTTTATCGAGGCAATAGAAAAGTTACTAATACAGGTATTACAGTTGTCCAAGTTGGAGCAGAACACTTCACCACCACTTATTCTCAGCCCTTTGGACAGTTATGGATTTCTGCATTAATCAATACCTGCTACAGTAAGATGTTTATCTGAGGAAGGTTTGCTAGAGAGTTTTATGTCAACTTGGTACAAGGTATAGTCATCTGAGAGGAGGGAACCTCAATTATGAAAATGCCTCCATAAGATCGACTGTAGGCAAGCCAGTAGGGCATTTCCCTAACTAGTGATTGATTGCAAAGGGTCCCACTCATTGTGGTTGGTACCACCCCTAGGCTGGTGGTCCTGGGCTCTTTAAGAAAGCAAGCTGAGCAAGCCCCAAGAAGTAAACCAGTACACAGAACCCTTCATGGCCCCTGCATCAGTTCCTGCCTTCAGGTTCCTGCCCTGTTTGAGTTCTTGCCCTGGCTTCCTTTGGTGATGGACTACAATGTAGATGTGTAAGCCAAAGAATCCCTTTCCTCCCCAATTTGCTTTTGGTCATGGTGTTTCATCACTGCAATGGGAACCACAACTACAGCAGAAGGCTAAGAACAGCACTTCTGGGGTATGAACATGACTACTTGGAACACAGTTAGACTACATGACTGTTGAGAAAAACAACAGTAGGAGATTCCCCTACTAGAGCCTAGGGGGATCCTCTCCAGTCAAGGGCTCCTGACCAGGTTTATAAAACCAAGCATGAGTTCTCTCCTGTGGTGTGGACCTCAAATCTGACCAGAAGATCAGGACAGGTTCGTGGCCATCTCTAGTTGTTGCAGTTTTAACAACCCTCCCACCATGCAATGCGCGTTACCCCACCTTTAGAATAGTGACAAACTGCTTCACCAGATCTATCTGACAACGAAACACCATTTTAATTATGTGGTAAGGCATACCAGACAGTGCTATATCAAGGCTGTGGCAGAAACATGAAGATTTCTTGAATATGGATGGGGAAATTAGCCATGTTTACTTTTAATGAGAAATTAAAAATTAAACAGGTATGTAATAAGAAAAACTACACGGCTAGAATAAACAAAGAAACTGAATTCATAACTTGAGAAACCAGCGTGTCTCAAGGGGGGGCGGGCAGGAGTAGAAAGAGAAAAGAAACTAATTACAGGGATTTTCAATTCCACTTGCAAAGCAGAAAATATTTCGTCATTATCATTTACCAAGGCTGTATATATCTCAATTTTCAGATTTAAATGTTCAATAAGAACTGAAACCATTAAATTACAAGAATATACATCAGCCATAAATTCTATTCCCAATTTGGTATGTGATACTAACAAAATTAATTCCACAAGAGAAACAGACATGATAAAGTCTTAATGGGAGTAATTAAATGCCACACTGAAGACTGGGGTCTCTGTATTATTGTAAGGGCAACAAATTCCATGAAATCATCTTACATTGTATGGCTCCCTCTCCAAGAAACTGTTTATTGTTACATAGCTGAAAAAGATCAATGGCATGCCATTACTGCTTGGAGACTTTTGGTAAATTTCATTTAGCAGTTTTACATAGTTTAATGAATATTCTTTTAACAAAATTATAGGGTAAATATGATTAACAGCTATTAATGACCTGTTATTGTCTAGGCTGATCGCTTTCTAAATATCTGGCCTTCTAAACACTTAAGTTCAGAATTTTTTAAATGGAGACATAGTTCACATATCATAATAATCACACTCTTGAAGGATATAAAGGGAATTTTAGTCTACTCATAGATTGTGTAACCATAACCAGCATTCTAAAACTTTCTTGATGCCAAAAAGAAACCCCATGAGTTTTAGCAGTCCCAATACTTGCCTTCCCCCAGATCGTACTAATTATCCACCTAATTTCTGTCTATTACCTATTCTGGACATCTCATGTAAGGGAGATTCTCCAATACAGAGCATTTGACTTCTTTTCCATATTTTCAATGATATTACACCCATATTTGTTATGTTTAAGTAACATTTCATTCTGTAGATGCACTGTATCTTGTTTCTCTACTCTTCAGCAAATGGGCTTGTCCACTGTTTGAAACCTGGCTCTATGATGTATAACACTCCCAAGATTCTAGTGTGCTATTCTCTGTATAAACATGCATTCTTAGGAATAGAGTTACTTGGTCAAACGGTAACTCTGCCTTAACTTTTTTTTCAAACTCATGCACCATTGTGTA